TGTATATATTTATGAAGGAATTGTTTGTCTATTATGCCAAAAAAAAAGTATGCGCTGACAGTTTGGCAACTGTTTGATGTGTCATTTTGGAATGTCAGGGTCGGCAGAGTTCAGTCCTGTTCAAAGCAAAAAGGAGGTCAGAGACCGAGGGCTGGGAGGGTCTCTGTCAGATAGGAAGCATGGGGGAGGGCTGTGGGACAGCCTTTTCTACATACTTAAGGCCAGTGGAGGAGGGGAGCGTGAGTGAAAGGCACAGAGTGAGGGCTTTCCTCCCTTCATTTTGAAAAGTTTATCTGGGACTCACTTTTTGGCGAGACTAGGGTACACAGAGCACCAGAACACACCAATTACAGCTGGGACAGTTTTATTGAGGAGGAACAGAGAACAAGATGTAAGAGTTGGAGAGAATGGAATGTTTTTTTCTGTTGTTGTGATAATTTTTGGATGAAGAAAAATGGTGGAAACTGCAAATTTAAAAATCTTTATGCTAAGAAATGACATTGCAAAAACTTGATTTTCTTCTTTATCTTCCTGTTTAAGGATTGGATATTCAGAGTTCATTTTAAATAAGTTTGTTTTTCTTGTTTTTCCTTATTTAGGCCCAGTTTGGAGCAGCGGAAGGTGCGTTCACGTGACGCGGCACGCTGTAGGAGGAGTCAGGAGACTGAAGTGTTTTACGAGCTGGCCCATTCATTACCCCTTCCACGACGTATCGCCTCCCACCTGGACAAAGCTGCCATCATGAGGGTGACGCTCAGCTATCTGCGCATGAACCGCTTGATCCAATCAGGTGGGTTCTGCTGAAATCGAGCTGTATGAGGTCTAGCAGTGGTCCTCGGTTGGTAGAAACCTAAAATGGGTCACAGGTCTGCGTTAATAGGGTTGTGGACAGCAGGCAGAAAACAAAACGTTATAAGTGCAACTAAATATAATCATTCATAGTTAGGTTGAGGGATGTTTGCAGTATTTTGGAGCAAATCCATCTCTATTGCACAAGTGAAAAGAAAAAACGGCCCAGACTGCATTAAACTTGGGTTAACATTCAACTAGGATAAACCTGGTTTGTGCTGACCACAATATGTTTGCGCAGGCAATTACTGGCTGCCAGGTGCATAAAGCCACTGAAAAAAATAAATAAATAAATTATTATATATTATATATATATATATGCTCTATTATCATTTCTAAATGGCTTTACTGTCACTTATGATTAACTTAATGCATTCTTGCTGAATTAAAATGTTAAAAATCCAAACCTTTGAATGATAGTGTGTACAGCTTATATAGGAGCATGGCTTATATAATATTCTTTGGCTAATATTTACTAATGTTAATATTTAATTCTTGTCACCTCTAGCAGGGCTAACCAAAACACCGACTGAAGAAACTGAGAATCCCACTGATGCCTTTTATCAGCAGGCACTGGCTGGCTTTATTCTGGTGATGACTGAGGAAGGGGACATGGTCTTCCTCTCAGAGAGTGTCAGCAAATACATCGGCATAACACAGGTAAGTGCCACCCCTACATATTGAAGTACTACATGAAACCAAAACTGTGTGAAGTTCACCAAGTTGAGAATTTCAAACATGTTGGCTGCAGTCTAGCAGCTTGTGGCCCAGGAATAGTGCCACTTTGGATTCCTCTGCTGTGGTGTGAGGCACAATGTTCACGTTACGTGTGTGACCAGACCCCTTAGAATAGGTCTGTTCCTGGGGGAACACATGCAGTCTAATGTGTTGTTTTGCTGTGTTCTGCCAGGAGGGAATTACAATGTTTCATGTAGGTTAGCATTGAATAATGAATGATGAATGAAAGAAATCAGTACAGAAATCCAACAAATTTGTATGGAGCATGATTTATGTCAATAATAATTCATGCAAAAGACACGATGCACACATGCGTAACCATGAAATCTTATACACATGACCTACAAACCTACAAACATGGCGGCGCGTTCACACGCTGCGGCTTCTCTCTCTCCTTAAATGAGTTGCATTTATAGTTCAACTATTCACGCTGAAACATGTTCAGCTGATTTTATTCCTGTGCATCAGTGCAATGCATATTCCAAACAATGTTTTTAAGTATGCCGTAAATGTGAAAAAATAAATGCAAAGAAAAGTTGGTCACATGTATGACATTTTGTATAAATTAATGTGCTAAATAAATAATTGTAATTTTTTTTTTTTTTTATATACGGTCTCTATTGTCATTATGTTTTTAAATTGCTGATTTTTTTTCTCATGTGGTTTTGTACAGCTGGAGCTGCTTGGACAGAACGTGTATGAATTTGTTCATCCCTGTGACCAAGAAGAATTACGAGACATCCTTGCCACAAGACCTGGTAATAAAAAAATTTCTAGGCCAAAGGATCTTTTCGCTAGAATTTAGCTGCTATGCAGTGATGTACTGTGTATTGAATTTTTTTGAAGTCTCATGTGCCGTGTGTAGGACTGACAAGGATAATTTTTTTTCATATTCAGGCGTTTCAAAGAAAAAGACAGAGAAGTCGACCGAACATAATTTTTTTCTTCGGATGAAGAGCACACTCACCCACACAGGAAGAACAGTTAATATCAAGTCTGCAAGCTGGAAGGTACACAAACTGTGAATATTATGTAAAAATAACTTTTTTATTATTACTATTTATGGACTATTAAATGTGTTTTAGACAGGAAACTGTAGAAAGAAAGGGTGCGTAAATGACCCAAGCCACATTCAAACTCATAGAAGTGCCATTGTGTCAATGTGCACTGCTTTTTAGTTTTGTTTTCATAAAACATTTAATGGCATGACTAGGTTTAATCAATACTGGTGTTGAACTTCCTTTAGCTATTTTCACACGCAGCACCTGTTAGCTCATCTTTAGCGGGTGTAGATTGCTCTGAGGGGTATGTAGGACAGTATCAGCATTACCGCTTCACATCAGCCCGGCTCTTTGTTGAGCGATGGGGACAAGTCCCATGAGTGCAGTGCAGTGAAGACAGACATCCAGCTACATTCAGTGCCAAGCCAGGACTCGGGCACTGGTCCAGCTTGACCGCTTGCTTCGCACGTCATGTTACACAATATTGTGTTTTCATCTTGGTCATCTGGTTTTTGTTGAGAAATGAACAAACAGTCAGTTTGAAACTTTGATTAGGATGTAAACTGTCTGAACTCATATATAGTAGAACCGTAATATTGTGAAACATTATTATTACAATTTAAAGTAACTATTGTAATAATTATCATTTACTCTAGTCTTCAGTGTCACATGATCCTTCAGAAATCAGTCTAATATCCTGATTTGGTGCTCAAGAAACATTATTATTATCTGTATTGAAATTTTTTATCACAGTTTCCACATAATTAAGGACTCTTTAATGAATGGAAAGTTCAAAAGAACAGCATTTATTTAAAATAGAACTCTTTTGTAACATAATAAATGTCTTTACTGTCATTTTTGATCAATTTAATGCATCCTTGCTGAATAAAATATAAATAAAATCACCCTTTTATGCAACTTCTAAACTGCATTGTATATTTATCCAAAGTACAGTAACTTTGGAATTACTTTATAGTTTTGTTATTTTCTAATAAAAATTCCATTAAAGCATTTTTCCATTTCTTCTCCCAGGTCCTTCATTGCACAGGACACATGCAGACGTTCAGCGGAGATAGTGAGAATGCACCCCCTGCTGGCAGCTTCCTGACTTTGCTGTGCGAACCCATTCCTCACCCCTCCAGCGTTGAATTCCCACTAGACAGCAACACTTTCCTCACACGCCATAACATGGATTTGAGTTTCACACAATGTGATGGACGGTAAGATGCATATAAATGCAATAATACATGCTTGTTTTCTTAGAAGTACACAACACACACTCAAGGTCGTAAAAGATCAAATAAATCTCATGACAGTGCAGTGTCTGATAACTGCAGTGGGTCAGCTGAGTTTCTCTGTGTAGGAGTGCACTCAGTTCGCCTCTTTGAAGCAGCGATATACAGCGTCCAAATTCGCCTTCCTACTCATGGTTTCTACCCACACATGTAAAAGTGAATCTAACGTTACTCACTCAATCTGCAAACCTAAATGAGCCTTGTAGCTGCTGATGTTTTATTCTCACTGGATGTTTTTGAAATGCGTACGTGTGACAGCTGAAGACAGATTTCATTCATGGTGTGAGAAAGCATGTGACTCGGGTTTCCTGTGTTTTTCTCTTGGCTTGCACATAGGGCACAGTATATTTATAGTATCTCAGTGTTGGGATCAGACACAACAATCACATTTTATGCTGGAGATGTCCATAAACAGCTTTTTAAATGGATGCAAATTCATATGAACTAAAAATAGTGTTTCCTTCATTGCCGTTGAACCTTCAGCTGCATGGCAAAGGAAATTAAATCAGTGATGAATCCTCCCTGAATCAGTCAGAACACTTGCTGAATCAGTTTCTGACTCACTTACTGAACTGCTGCTGAACTTACTGAAGTTTAAATTGTTATAATTGCTGACTAGCTGCTCTTATGACAATGTCTGCAATAACATTTGTGGAATAAATTAATGATGCAAAGTGATGCAAGAGTAGCAATATATCAAATCTGTACCACACGTTTTTTGCTGAATGAAAGCTTTCACTTTGGTTTCAGTAACAAATTATTTTGGTGCATCACTATAATAAATTGTATTAAAATAAGTAATAAAGTTAGGAGACTTGAAATATTTATTGACCACTTTCTGTGTTTACAGAGTCACTGAGCTCATTGGATACCAACCCGATGATCTGATTGGCCGGTCTGCCTATGAGTTTTATCATGCCCTTGATTTTGATCATGTGACCAGAAGTTTACACATCTGTAAGTTTAAGTTCATATTTTTTTCATAATACATTCAGTCTTAACCATAACCCACCCAGTTATCAACTTCATTTGTTGAAAATGACAATGTCAACAATAAAGATGTTGTGTTCTGACCACTGCTAAATGCCTTCCTTATATTTTCCTTTGCACTTGCAGTGTTCTCCAAGGGCCAGGTGTGCACCAGCCATTACCGCTTCCTGGCTAAGAATGGAGGATTTGTCTGGACTGAGACTCAAGCCACTGTCCTCTACAACAGCAGGACCTCTCAACCCGAGGCTGTGGTCTGCCTCAACTTTATCCTCAGGTACCTCAGTCAGACCTGGTGTAACATCCGTGTCATGTGCCCTATTGTATAGTAGATCATGGCATTTCATTGCTTATATACTATTATACTTTTTTATTAATATTTTATTTTTAATATGTTTGTAGAAGTATTCAGTGTTTGTGAAGTATTTATTTTTTCATTTTAGTAACTTAAAATAATTTTCTTTCAATTAGTCCCCAAGGCAACATTTCTAATTTTCATATTCTACTAAACAAATGGTTTTTAATGGTTTCAGTTTCAGTTGACAAAAATAACCCAGGTGTGAATGATGTTTCTCCCTCTCTCTGGCAGTGGTGTAGAAGAGGCGGATGTTGTGTTCTCATTAGAACAGACCTGTGAGAAACCAAAGCCCAGAGCTGAGAAGCTGAGCGTGCTGAATGAGGAGGAGGAGGATATGGAGGAGGAGAGCAGCACTGCGAAACTCTTCCTCCAGATGAAGGAGAACCCAGAGGACTTACTGCAGCTGGCACCTCATTCTGGAGACGCTGTCATTTCCCTAACAGGTGCTCAAAATCATGCTTTTCTACAGAATTTGAATGTTTGCTGTTGGTCTTAAAATCGATTTGGTTGTGCATTCTTGCACAATTGTAATGTCATCCTAATAGTGCTTTATATTATTCACAGACGGTGTGGAGTTGTCCTTCTGCCGTCCATCTAGTCCCAACACTGTCCCAGAATGCCCTCAGGACTTCTGTACGCCTGAACTCCATCGGCTCCTTTCTCCAATATTCGACAGGCCCACCAAATCTCCACCCGCTGCGGTGTGTATGCAACCCTCTACATTGCTAGTAAATCACTCGCATATGCGACTAAATCTTACTCTGGGTGACTAAATAATGTCTAACATTAGCCATTGGCTAATAAATTCTTAGATTTTACATGCCAGTATGTGTGTGAGAGGCGTTCAACCCAGATTTTCACTCGATAAACACGCTGACTGAGCGTTTGAGAGTTTCGCTCTCTGTCAAGCGATCTGTACTATTTGGATGCGCTCAATGGATCATGTCATGCGCTCAATGGATGCGCAGTATGTAGCACGCAGCGCACCTGTACTAGCCAATGGCGATTATATTGCCAAGGTGTGCGTAGAGGGTTGGTATGAGAGTTTAGTTTTTTGTTTGGGTATTTTTGATGTTTTGAATGGTTTATCTGACATTTAAGGGTCTGTTTCAGAGCCCCGCTGAAGAGCTGCCCATGGAGATGGAAGGGGTGGAAAAGTTCTTCGCCCTCAAACCAGAGGAGAGCGTAACTCTGAAAGGACAATCAGAGGTAGTTCTCAAAGTGGTTTTTAGATTTATTTCCAAACATCTCAGAAGATAAGTCGTGGGTGTTTAACACTTTCATTCTCTGACAGGCTATGGATGAGCTTGATTTGGACATGTTGGCTCCATATATCTCCATGGATGATGACTTCCAGTTGACCTTCCTGCCCCAGGGTGAAATGGCTGTACCGTCAGATATGCTGACCAAGACTTCAAGGAAACGGTAAAAAATCATAATGATGATTTCAGCATATTTAGATTGTGTCTAATCTGGTAGAATGTACCAGAATTGTTCAGAAGTTTGGGATTGGTAGGATATTTTTAATGTGTTAAAGGAAGTCTCTTATGCTCACTAAGGCTGAATTTATTTGATCAAAAATATGGTAATATTGTGAAATATTATTACAATTTAAAATTGCTGTTTTCTATTTTAAAATATTTTAAAATGTTATTTATTCCTGTGATGCCAAGCTGAATTTTCAGTAGTCATTACTCCAGTCTTCAGTTTCCCATGATCCTTCAGAAATCATTTTAATATGCTGATTTGCTGCTCAAGTCAATTTTTATTATTATTATCAACGTTGAAAACAGTTGTGTTTCTTCATATTTTTGTGGAAACTGTGATACTCTTTTCTTTTCTTTTTTTTTTTTCAGGATTTGTTTTGATAAATATTAAGTTCAAAATTTAGACGGATAAATTCTATTTATATGAAATAGAATTATTTTATAACATGTCTCTACTCTCGTTTTTGATCAATTTAATGCATCCTTGCTAAATAAAAGTTGTTTCTGTAAAAAGAAACTAATAAAAGTCCCAAACTTTTGAACGGTAGTGTATAAATCGCGTATTTAATGTCTTTCTCCACAATAGATGTTTGGAAGACGAGGAGGAAGAGGACATTCCTGTTCTGGCTGCCAAATTGGAGAAGAAACCAATGAGCGGCTCCATAGAGGAACAGCTTCTGCTCAGCCACACATTACTGGTAAGGAAAAATTATCTGTTATTTTTTTTAACCTTTACTTCTTTAGCTTCATTCACACAAAAACACTTGTTGTAGACAATATGTTTCAGAGTGTGATTTTGTTTTGTGTTTTTAGAATAGCTTGTCTGATGATGGTTTGGAAGAATTTGAATCACCACCTCAAAAGCGAAGTCAGCTCTTGACCGACAGGGACCCGCTGCTGGGCGGAGCGCAGGCATTGTGTGATACAGCAGGTACGCTGCTTATTTTAAACAGTCCTGTCCTGTTGAATATAAGATTAATTTATAAAAGCTAACTCATTAACTTTATTTTATCATTAACAGCTCTCATGAGGGACACCTTCCTGTCGCGCCCGCCTGACTTAAAGAGACCCATTGCTGAAACAATGGCATCCCTTACTTGAAGAGAAAACAATGTGGACGAGTCATCAGCGATTACAGTGACCGTTAACAAAGAGAGTTACGAATAACCCTCTTCACGCTCCGCATGTATCAGCGTAACATGTATTTCAGAGAGTGACCTTTTACGCACAAAACACAGGAGGACAATTGGCCTAGACACTCTTGTCCATTACATATGTCAATATGTCAACTATTTTTCTTTTTTTATTATTATTTTAATTTGTTTTTGCCCAAATATTATAACCAAGAGTAGTGAAAATAGACTTTAGTTAGTAGAATTAGTATAATATAGTGATTGGTAATGAGTTCTCAACAGATTTGTCATTCAGTAGATTGCGACATTTCAAACAAAAAAAAAAATGGTGGTCTGATCTCCCCTCGTTTTCTGCCGTTCAGTCCGAATTCGTCCAAAGCACAAAGGCGGTCAAAGTAGGTTCGAAATGGAAGATATACTGGTCAGGATATGTTAGAAATAGTGTTAACATGTTGTTCTACCACTTGTAGCCTTAATCTAAACCTATAATCTCATAACTTCAAGCATAACCTCACTTGACTGTAAGTTTATCAGAAAGAAGCTTGACGAGAGGATTTCTTACAGCGGTTCTGTCTAGAATCATGGGTTAGAGCGGTGAAGGGCTGACTTTGAGTGGATGTGATCATGCTTTTGAGTTCATAGATTATTCACTGAGGCCATAGCTGACAAATGCAACAAATACTCTATTGGTGGTCATCTTTTAATAAAGCATTTTATATACTTTTGCAATTACAACTTGTAAGTGAATCTATACTTATGTGTCTTTGGTGTTGAACTACAAATATTACTGTTTTCTGTTCTTGTGTCACCTCCAGTATGATCTGTAATGGTTTTCAAAGAGGCTATGGTGTTGATGCTGCAGTCGTATTGACCGAAAACCTTGTCTGATGTCTTTTTGAATCCTAAAATGAGATGCTAACACGACAAATGTGCTAATCAGTTGGTTGAAAGCATTTGCAGCAAGCGATCGTCTTTGGTTTTGTCGTTTGTTGATGTTTCTAGATCATCTTTTATGCAGCAAAGGCTTTTTTATTTTCCATTTGACTGTGAATCAGATATATTCCCTTGATTTCTGTAGCTAGTACAGACATGACTCAAGGGGCCTTATTCAAATGGTGTCCAATAAGACATATGCCTTTCTCATATGGATAACAGTTCTTCAGATATCTTAGACTTTTGTGTATATCACTTTGTGTATTTTTGCATCATTTATTTCCAATGTATGTACACCTTGTATTGACTGATAAATAAATAAAACCTTTTAAATGCATTCCAAAAGTGTTGTGTGCTTTTTTTTTTTATGTACAAACTTCAAAACATCCACAAGCACATTTCCTCATTGAATAATCAAAAGCTTTCCTTGTTTTCCACACACTGTTTTCACGTTTTGCCACACAACTCAATATTAATTGAATAAAACTTGTCTGAATCGATAAATAGAACATGTTTTGTAAGGAACCGTTCACACAGAACGCGTTTATGCATTCAAAAACACCAGACATAGCAGCGGGAAGAATGCACGATCTCGAGACCTTTTTTTGTTGTTTTTTTAAAGCTTCCTTAAAAGCGTATTTTAGCGTTTTAAAAACGCACTAGTGAGCGAGTTGCTGTGCAACCGACAAATATGCCTACATTTTTACATAAATTAAAAAGCATAGTGGAATCAAGCACAGTTTGTGTCAATATCCAATCTAATATGAAATCTGAATTATGAACAATATTAATAGACATTATCCAACGCTTTCCATGCAGAACTTTTCAACGTCAAAATTGGTCTGTTATAAACCATGTGGTTAATGCATAAAAGATTGCGGTGTTATTTTGCTTATTTAGTAAAAAGCAAACTATTTTCCAACAATCTCTAATGAAGATTAATAATAAACAAAACTTTCCCTTGCACGTGTGTGCAGTACTGCGTTTGACCTTAAAATGGAGATAAGGCCTGCTGCCAAGTCTCTAGTCTACAAGGTAAAACAGTTACACTTTTTTTCTTATCAGACAGAGTACTAAAGTCGCCAAATATTAGCAGAATGTTCTATAAACAATTGGGCAAGAATAAGTTTCACCTTAGGTTGCTCCAGATTGTAATAATTCAACCAGCTAGCTAGCTGGTTTTACTATAACTCATTTGAAGATTTGCCATCCTTTAGTGCAGAATCAGGAAACCAGATTAGCATTACATTCAAAGAGGCTTTATGTAGGTCAAATGTAAGTGTGTAGGCCTCTCTCTGTTACTTTCTGTTTCAATATAACATTTCCCATGATATCCTCTTATGAGTCTTTTAATCCACCATTGATCTTTTTGCTCAAACTGGATTGAAAACAACTGTTAACAAGCTTGAACTCTGTATTGGAGCTGTTGTCAACCACACCATTACACGTAAACCACTGGAAATTTTAGTTTTAGCGAGTTTTTTCGGATATTATAACCTCAGAATGTTATAATAGAATGTCTCTTAATAAATGTGTTAAACACCACTCACAAACCATAGAAAGATTTAAAATCCTTTTTAATAGCAAACATTCCATTCATAAAGTTAAAAATGTATTATTATTACTTTTACATATACTATTTGTGCAGAATTATATACAAGATATAATGATGTAAATGTTACATATCATAAAATGATTAACAAATAATACCACACAAAACATTCAAAGCCCATTCAGCAAGCATACTTCAAGTCTGTTCCCCTGTTCTATATGTTAATGCAATATTTAACAATAGATAAATCTGTTCAGGTGGAAGGAATTAAAAATTTAATTATATATACTACATCCATCAGTCAACAGGCACAATCCCAATCCAGCTATTACATTCAGTCAATCTAAATGCTCTGAGAAACACTGAATGAGGTGAAATCATATTCTTTCCATGCTAATCTTAAGTCATAACTCTGAAAATGTAACTACACAGCATTTCATTCTTACAGGAATGACTGCAATACCTACATCATTAAATAAAAGTCATTCAGTAATCATAAAAGTCCCCTTAAAACACCTTGTTTCCCCTCACGGAGGGGAGACGGTAGCCACGTCTCCAGCTGGTCGGTGAAAACATTGACATAATCAATATTGCAGCACGTTGCCCAGGAAAACAAAACGTATCTGACCAATAAGGTCATTGCGAAACATCTACACCAGTTCTTCACTGGTATTTAAGCCAAAGAAGGATGAATCCACAATCAAAGGCAGAAAGAAAAGTCACAAGGACTCCTGTGCAAGAAAACGAACAATCAAAAAGCTAAGAGTGAGTTCATTAACGTCCAGTAATTAGTTGTTTTTATCAACAGAAAGTGCACTTTGCAAAGCCCGCTCGCCACTGTCGTTCTCAGTGTCTCTGGATCGTGATTGGACCTCTTCGTAAGGAGGCGGTGGAGTCTCTGTGCTCTGACTGGCTGTGTTGGTGCAGTGATTCGAATCGGGGCGCATGAGCGAAGTCAGCGGACTGTGTTCTGATCCATCCTGGGTCAGCAGGAGCTGAGTGGGTCCACGGAATGGCGGGAGTCGTTGGCCCCAACTGCTGTAGATTGCCTCCTCGTACGTGGGAAGAGCTACAGGTAAGCCATCTACAACAAGGTCCAACTGATCCGAGGAACGCCTGATGAGAAAGACACAACAGTTAGTGTCATGCTGATATACACTGCCATTCAAATGTTTGGGGTGGGTTTTGAAGGAAGTATGTTTTGTAAAGAAGTCTCTTATGCTCATCAAGCTCATTGTTTGCTCAAAAATCAGCGAAAACAGTAATATTTTGAAACATTATTGCAATTTAAAATGAATGTTTTCTATTTGAATATATTTTAAAATGGAATTTATTAGTTACATTTTTAACAGCCATTATTTCCATCTTCTATGGAAGCTTATTTCTTCCAAGCAAAAAAAAGGTAGTTGCAATTTTTTTATTTACATCTTGCTATTCTGAGGGGAAAAAAAATCATAATTGTGAGATATAAATTTGCAATAGCAAGGAAAAAAAATTCAAGCTTCTTTCTGCCATGGATCATGGATAAAAAAATGTAAAAAAAATTGGTAATTACTTTTTTCTTGCAATTACGAGATATCTCACAATTTAGACTTTTCATCTCAGAATTTTGAGTTTAAATTTTGCATTTCTGAGTTTATATCTCACAATTATGAGTTTATATCTTGCAATCCCAATAAAAAAAAGTCACAGTTGTGAGATATAAACTGTGGCGGAAATGAGCTTCGATAGTCTTCAGTGTCACATGACCCTTCAGAAATCATTCTGATATGCTGTTATGGTGCTCAAGAAACATTTCTTATGAATGCTGAAAAGACTTGCGCTGCTTATTTTTGTGGAAACCATTTTTTCAGGATTCTTTGATGATTAGAGAGTTCAAAAGAACAGCATTTATTTGAAATAGAAATAATAACATTGTAAATGTCTTCACTGTCACTTTTGATCCATTTAATGCGTCCTCGCTGGAATAATAGTACTTTGATGTAGTATTGACCCCAAACTTCTGAAAAGTTGTGTAACCATGTGCATTTCAATTGTGTTTTTTTTATAGTTCATACCGTTGCGTTCGACAGGAGAATAGACGGGATTTGATGACCAAACAGGCTGTTGTGGTGAGAAGGAAGATGGACACACCAATAGCAGTCGTAGCCACACTTGGGATAGAGTTGACTATGTTTTCTTTTTGTTCAGCATGACCCTCTGTTAAAAAAAAAAACACACACACAAACCATTTAAAGGCATCCGTCAAAGAGCTTGACGTACAAATCAAGGCTGGATGCCAGGCTTTTGGAATAAGCGGTTGAGCGAGGTTTACATCCTTTGATTCGGATTCTATGACGCGAACGTTTTCTGAAGGCTTTACGTGCATCACAGAAAAAAGTAGTACTGGTTAGTTTGGTGACTTTGCTAACTTCCTGCTCAAGCTGTTGGTTTCCTCTCAAGACATGTTTCAGCTCAGACAAGGAAGTGAGCGCGCTGAATGAAGCATCATGGTTTTTCCCCCTCCTTAGTTTAGGAGTTTACTTCACTACCGGTGACTGGAGCTTATTTAGGTCATTTATATTAATGGTTCTGCTTTTGCAATGTCTTCTTCCAGCACATTTTCTTCATTCAGAATGCAGAACTATTGGACGTCTGATGCAAGATGGAAAGCCTGCATACGCCACTTCCAGTCTTTCACATCAGTCTATTACTTCGAAAGACGGTAAATGGCTGGATTGCGGTGGTTGTGTCAAGTATTCAAAATGCAAACCCAATTTTTTCTTTTCTCTTACCTGGTTGGGGCATGCAGACGGGCACTGCTGGACGCCATTCCCCATGCTGACACTTTGACCGATGGTGGCGTTTGGGTAGAATGTAGCCGGGCTCGCAGAAAAAGCTAATGATGCTCTTTTGAGGGAAACCACGACAGGGAGAGGGTTCACAGCGGAAACCTCCATGCTCGGGTACGAGCGGGTGGGAGCAGTTCTTGCCTTGAAATCAGACAGATAAAATAGAAATGACCTTGATAAGATAAAATTCAACTTCTACATGTAGTCTTTGTATTGTGTTGGTTTCAAATGGTTTTGAAAACTTTTATACTTCCTGTTTTGATTTTTTTCTGCATGTTGGTTGTACCAAATAACTTTAAAATGGCAAATATTAGCAAAGAAAGTAGTGAAAATAATAATAATTGTATTCATAGTTGATACAGTATTATTATATTATAAAATTCGAAATAATATTAATAATAATTCATGCTTTCTTTACAATAACTTGTAATTATTCATCTTTTTCTTCATTATGATGACATTTTTGCACATAACGTCTAGAACAGTTTTAAGTAGTGAAGCAATTTTGTTCAAATATTTTTCTATTGAAACATTTTTTGACAAACTAATTATGAAATTATTCAAACAAATATTGTATATTACATATTAGCTGTTCTAATAATTATGAATAGTTATAATAATATGACTATAACTATTTATAATTCATATGATTATCTGTTTAATAATTTTTTTAAGAATTAAAGCCATTTTAATAACTTTTCCATTTTTTTTAATGAATCTTATTTTCTTCATTATGATCAGGAAGGGTTTACATTTCGAACCTCCCAAAAATATCCAAATTCACTGTAAAATACACGTATTCAAGACATTGTAATTGCATTTTTAATGCATTTTTGAATAAATTAATAGATTGAGCAAGATAGATTGGCCTACTATACAAAGTTTCATAAGTGATTATTGCCAAAATGATAAGTTTACAATCTTTACTAGCGGCTTTGAGAGGAAGCTAGCGGCTGGTTATCTGGAAGAGGAAGATGTGGGTTGCTGAAAGGAAATTGTCATACCTGTGGTGAAGTCTGGCAGAGAAGCCAGCATGAGAGCCCCGCAGCTCAGGGCAGTACGCACACATGACCAGAGAAACAATCGCTGTGCAGACATCAAAACACCTGTCCTGCTGACACAACACACAAACAAAAAAAAACAGAGCTCAGGAACCTGCAGCCATTCACTTATCAGCAGTTTCCATTACTAGATCCACAGCTACTGCACTGCAAGCGTCATTCAGAGATGCATTTTAAGTGCATTACATGTGTGACTAACAGGGCGTTTTAAACCATTAACCACATGTTGGAGAAGAGATGCATCTACAGCTGGCCGTGCAACAGCTGGCACACACCACACCCAGCCTGTGACCCTAGAATAACACGACCTGCACAACCCAGAGAGCAATTTCCCATGCCAAAGGTGGCGTTAAGTGACAGTGACACTTGATAGTGGTCTAAAAATGACTAGCAGCTTTGCCACAAGTGGAGCAAGATGTACACAAAACATCTCCAGAACCATAAACACTGAACGCTTGCTTTTATTTCTGCAATGGTGTAGTCATCTGTGTAACATGCGGGATTGTCCCTTCTTGGCAGCGTGACATTTTCACACATAAAGCTTGGCACAAAACAGACCACAACGTGGGCGGCTTGCTGCCACCTCCTGTACTAAATACATTATTAAACTGTGGAACACTAATGTGAGTGTCCACAGTAAGTGCATTTTGCACAAGGATTATATGAACTGCATACTGCAACTGCAAGTTGTATTGTGCATTATGTATATTATTATGTGTACTGTGCATAGGGAGAATATTGTATACACTCTTAAAAATAAAGGTGCTTCACGATGCAATAGAAGAACCTTTTTTACCTAAATGGTTCCATAAAGAACCTTTAATATCTGAAGAACCTTTCTGTTTCAGATGGCATCGCTTTATTTTTAAGAGTGTAGATATATTATGTTCTACTGTCATGACTGCAAATATGGACAACAAACTCAGATCGTCAGTATTGGAATGATTAATAAATGCACTAAGTGCAAAGCACCTAAATAAATGAAATGCAAAGAAAAAAAATAAAGGTACATTTAGATTAGCAGAAAAATAATAGCATGAATGTTATTATTTATGATTTACAATGCAGTTTGTTTGTATTGTCTCAATATATTTGTATACATTTTTTTTTTTTTACATATTGTATTATTAAAAGCAGAAAAAAATCTATAAAAAATCCTCTTTATATGGCATATGGTTATGGAACACAAAAATGTAAAAATAATAATTAGCATTATCAGTCACAAAAATTGCAATTCTCTACACATTTTTCACTACAGCACATTTGTGTATATGACATAGTGACAATAACATTTTTTGATCTGCAAACAGTCACAAATTGGTGTAGAAACAATTTCACTTAGAAATTGCTAGTAAATTTTACAAACAGTTGCAAAAAAATGTATTAAACGTGAAATATTTAAGTAGAAAAACAAACACTCCAATAATCTTTGTTTACACTTTGGAAACTATTTTTAAAGTGTATGGAGTTAAAATGTGCAATTGCGGTGTTATATTAAAACACATTTACACACAACTGCCTTTAACTGAAAAATGAGTGTTTACTATTGTCACTTTGCATTATTGACACACTATTTTCCTAATTAATGCTGTAGTTACTTTGACACAATCTGTATTGTTAAAAGCGCTATATAAATAAAGGTGACTTGACTTGACATTTTTCTTTTAACTGGCATTTAAACCGCTAGTTATGGGTATGATGGGAAACATCACTGACATATACGATAAAAGAGAACTAACTGATCTTTGATTCTTCTGCTCTGCTAATCAAGCCATTCATCTAACAATGCTGATTCTGTTCGTCACTGCCCTTCACTATAACATTGTACAAAACCCATGTGTGATTTAATAGCACTGTTCACACGCTTACTGTAGGTTTGTGAAAAGGAAGACAGGTGCACAAAAGCTCTATTGTTGCATCGTATTGTGTGTTAAAGTCTGATCCAAAACGAAACTCACCTGGCAATGCAGCTCGCGGTGATGTGAGGTTATAAAATCGATCTAGCGCAGTCGCTTCTTTAGTGTGTTTTCATTTACGAGGGATCCGTCAAAGATTTCAGATGACTTGGCACACAACCTGTGCCCCCCGGCTGAATGGGACCTGATTCAACAAGTGCATCTATTCTAGAGCAGCAGCTGTCAGATGACTCACCGCACAGCTGAGTTATCATGCGCAGCTCGAGCTGATTGGTCGCCGGCCTGCGCCCCGCCCCACAGCGACTAGAAGGGACCGCCCACATTTGGCCATCATATTCTGGAAACCGAAAGCAATTCGTGGAAAAGCAGTAGGCTGTGGTTTTATTATTTATACAAATATTTTTACGACCACACCTATAGCGCACCCGCTTCCCTATTTGGCTTAAAACCTGAGGAAGAGACAGAAAACAGAAACAAAACAGAAGTGATAAAATACAGGACGGATGCACCGCCTGTGAGGGAAAAAGAGCAATAATATGCACCGACGGTGGCTGCGTTTTAAAAGCTTGTAAGCTGCCTAACTAGACTGCATTTCTGGCCATCATAGGGGACATACATTTTTCATATTAATCGTTTTGATATCACGACTGACGTTGACATATGCATATACACTCTTAAAAGACAAATTGTCTAATGTTTCTGCTTATTTTCACATTTTAAATTATTAAACAACTATATTTTTACATAATGCATATTTTAATATAATGCATGAGTTCACTGAAAGTACTTTCCCAGTTCACACCATCTAATTATCACATCACAAAGGTCATCATGTCAACCAAAATGACTAGGATACATACATCCTGTGCCAATATGACAGCTCTGTACACCATACTTATGTTCATCTCAAGAGCAAAATCATACTACCACATCTGGCTTAAAGAGTGAAATGAGGGAGCCAAAAGATGGTTTAAAAACTGTATTTGAAGAAAAAAAAATCAGTTTAAAGTCCATTTTACCACCAGTAAAAATTCACATATTATAGAGGGAACTCTGACATTGGTTGTGCACCAAAAATGACAATACATAGAAATAAAAGGAGAAAACAAAAGAACCAGCATGAACCATTTTATACTTCACAACAACACAGGCCTGTCAGTAGCAGTTCCAAATAGATGTTGAAGATTAGTCCAAAACAAGTCTGTCAGATATGGGGGAACATCAACATCAAGAAAAAGTTCATGCTTCGATTTTATCCCACCTTTAAAATAAGTTTCTTTAAAACTATCTACATGATGAAAAAAGGAAATGATGATAATAGAAATTTAAAAAATACAGTGCAAGATTAATTAGAAACCTATTAGGCTTAAAATAAGTCAACAGCAGAATATGGGTGATCCATTAGGTTTAATGCAGAGACAATCTGAAACAGACTAAGTGAGAAAAAAATGAAAGCCATATTAATATACAATGTACCTTTTCCAGATAGCATTTGCAGTACTGTTTGAAAGCACCACGTGAGGAACAAAATCGGAAACAAAACAAAAAAAGCAGATCATTATCTTACCACATAAGAGCTCATGCTCTGATCGGCCCTGGGAATGCAATTCAGAAAATAGAGAAGTAATTTCTGAAAGTTATTCAACACGTTCACTGGATCAGTCTTTTGAGAAAGTCATGCATTACGCCATTTTGCTCACATCCATTCACACTTCCAATCAAATAAGGCTTGTGGTATCCTCTTTATGAACAGTCAATAGTCATTAAACATTAGCAGATGAATTAAAAAAAAAAAAAAATGTGTGGCTGGTCACAAATCAAGTAGCATACTGTGGAGAATGTGTTCAGTTTCAGTTCTTCATTAAAGATGCATTACGGCGGTTTTTCTTTGTTTGTAGGAATGCTAACCTCATCTGTTGTTTCAGTGCACTGAGAATGTTAAACAACTACCTAAAATACCTATGAATGCTATTCTCTCAATTTCATTATTTATTCCTCTCCGATTATACATTTACATGCATGTACATACTTTGCTCCAATGCCTGATTGTCATTATTTTTGTTTCACCTCCTGAAAAAGTAACAGTTCCAGTATGTAAAGAAATGCCATCAAAAACTTTTACTGGTGGAAAAAAACAAACAAACAAATTCTAGTAGTGTTTTTATATTAATTACGTCTGTCAATAATGGTCATTAATTTTCTCAAACCTTCACATCTACAATTAGAGCTATTGTTGCTGTGTTAACAGTTTAGGCCCTCGGCAAAAGAACACGTTTTTTTAGAAAAACTCAATATACACAACAGCTACCGCTTCAGTCTAGAATTAATCTCTACAATTCATCTTTAAACAATTTGTAAATTACCGAATGTAAATGTGACCTCAATCTTCTCACAAACGTGCATTCACTCGATTCTCATTAATGATCAGCTAGTATTCACACGTAGAGTCACTATACGAATCAGATTAATTTTGAAACGGCCTTTTAATGTTTTTTTTTTTTCCCTTAAATTTTGTCAGTGTTCACATCCACTTTGGTCCTGGATCTTTGTGACTGAGCAAGAAAAGATAAAAGTCTTAAAGGGACAGTTAACCCAAAAAATAAAATTCTGTCATCATGCACTCACCCTAATGTCGTTTCAAACCTATATGACTTTCTTTCTACTGTGAAACATATAAAATGCCATTTTAAAAAAAATGGCCAAAACAACACTAAAGAAGAAAGGACGCTACACAGGAAATGATGGTGAATAAATGACAGAATTTTTCTATCTGGGTAAACAATTCCTTTAACGTGATATAGTGTACTCCGACTAATTAGTATTATAAACCTTCAGTATTTCAAACAGTCTTTGGTTGTTCCACTACTCTTCTCTTAATCCTCGAACGTCATGGTGCTCTTACAACAAAACGTCGTAATGTACATGACCAATTACACGAGTACTACAGCCTATATTTTAGTGCGTGGGATTAATCGCGATCTATATCTATATGGTCCACTTCCTTTGAACAAGCTCTCATAAAGTAGAGCATACGTAACGCTCAGCTATACATTCATATAGTTCAACATCTCTCCGACAAAACCAACCATAATGAATCCTTCAGAGAAAGGCCACGATACTTCAAAGATATAAGCTACTTAACTGGAGGATTTGGGCGCACATGAAAAGACAGGCTGCCCTACATTGAAAACAACTCAATCTCTTCAGCTAATGTGGCGTGGCGCCGTGGTGAAAGTTTTGGAAGAAAAAAAAAAAACCCTACACCCAACCCTTCCCCCCTTTATTATATAAAAAAGTGGAACAATGAATCAAAGGAGGAAGTCTGATATTGGAGTGCAGCTCAATCTCAGAACAGTTTAAAACATCACACTGTCACTCAAAACACAATTTGAAAACCAATATAACTCTCTACTTTCATTAAAACAAAATAAAAAAAAAAAAGTCGGGAAGCTCCAGTGTTTATCATTGCTTAGGGTTGTAAAAGGAGCCTAGAGTTTCCTTTTTTTTTTTTTTTTTTTTAGTAAAAGGTTTTCTTCAGTAGCTGTTTTCCTGTTAAAAATGGATTAATGAGTAGTGTGGTCATGGTGCAAAAGATGAAGTGCAGGGGAAAAAAGCTTGAGTTTTGGTACGAATCCATAAAACTGTTGCATTTTCATAATGTCTAGACCTCCTTAACTCTGTTCACCCAAAAGTCTTAGAGATCAAGCATGAAACCACCTAGAGAACACGTTCTCGTGTTTCTGAATTAGCCAGAGAGGGGAACCTCTTCTAGCAGAACACTGTGAAGGATCTAATCATGTCTATTTCATGTCACCAAATTTGGTGTATTCTATAGTGGAATAAAAACAGTGGTAAAAATGTTTGGGAAAAAAACCCTCTTAATGTCCATAGCATCAATGGCCTTTTCTCCTAAAAGTCTTGACCTGTACAATCATTTCAGATGTTTAAACTGTGCAGAGTACGGACTCCATCTTTGCATCTGGGTCTTTGCTTTGAGCTCAGAGGGCCTGACAGATCCCGCCCCGATTTCTCTTCTCATCTCATGCGGTTTTGTCTCATGAGGGGAACAATGCAAGAGGGAGGGCCCGCTTTACTCAGGAAGGGATGCTTTAGCAGCTCTTGAGCTGTGGCCCTCTGGGCAGGATCTCGCACGAGCATCCTGTCCAAGAATCCCTTGAGAAGTGGCGAGACCTGTGGATACAGAACAGTGCCAAATGTGCTTAATCTGGTCAATACACACTGGCTTAAACATTAATCTCTTTCTGCCCACATGGTTAAGCAAAAGGAAATGGGTGTACCTTGTGGAGGTTTTTGAGCTTGGGTGGCAAATTGTCTCGGATCATCTTCATGGCCTTGAGCGGAGGCTCATTGAAGTACGGCGGCTCTCCATCCACCATTTCAATAACCATAATTCCAAGTGACCAAATATCCACCTGTAGAAACAGTCTGAAATGTGTGAGCTGCAGTGCTGTCAGAAGTAACGCATCATATGTAATAAAGAGGGGTGTGGCTTGCCTCTGGTCCATATGGGAGTCTTGAGATGAGCTCAGGGGCCATCCAATAGGGAGTTCCTACAAGAGACTTCCTGCGCTGCACATCTTTTGAGACCTGGGCACAAAAGCCAAAGTCTGACAGCTTCACCTGCAAATTAAAACAAAGATAAAACTTAAGATATATACACAAATCAAGACTTTTATTTAGCCTCGTTTTTTTCATTGGTTGGGATTACTTTGAAATTATGCATCTACATTATTTCTCTTAAGGTGTTATAATATACTGCTGGTGTTTTTCCAGAGTGGTTAGATTGATATTAACAACATAAGAGACAACGGAAGTTCTGTTAAGCTGCATAAAGACAAACCATTAATACTTCAAGATTTTATTAAATTACATTTTAATCAAGAAGCGCACGTGATTGTTCTCGTGCACAGCATGATCACTGGCAGTGCGAGCGCTCTTCACAGATCACGTGTACAAGTACACATGCGACAGTTCAAAAAGCAGCTATCTGTCGGTCAGATTATTATCAAACTGAGTCAGAACGTAGTATTATTTCACTATAATTTTGGTACCAAAGAACCAGTGCATTTGACATCCTTAATGCAGATAGAAATATTAAATCATGACATTTATAAATGTGTAAATAATCATCTGCTGGTTAATATTTTAATTCTCATCATGCTCTAAAACATTCAGTTAAATGAAGTTACACCACTAAAGAGCATGTGAAAGTGAAAAAAGTTGTTTGAAATAAAATGTGAAAAAAGTGGGGGAAAAAAAGTTTGCATAACAAATAATTGCTTAATTAGCTTCAGTAAAGCTTGTCAAATTTTCAGTGGAAAGCTTGTGCAATACTTGCTTGACTAACTACACAAGAAATTATGCCCTCTGGGATATTGCATTAGAAATAGCGTCAGAAATATGCAAGAGGAAATGAAACATGTATGGTCAAACACATAACACAGACAATCAGCCCCTGCCGAGAAACAGCGGAGGGTGGCTGAAAGAACTTCCGCCTGTTTCAACCACAGACGCAATGAAGTACAGACCCCTTCTAACAAACCACTGCCTATTTCAGCACCAACAAAAAAAGATACGGGCTTGGTATCATGGCCGGAAATTGCAAGAAGTATGTGTCTATAACATGGATCTACCAGTGTTTGAGGTCTCTTAAGTCAAGTACTAAAGTAAATGATAGTTATGTTATTGTGGTTCAGCACTTGGTCAACAATTTAATTCTGCTTTAGTACACTGCTGACTTAATGACACATTTAGATCCTCTTCTCACACGAGTGGACATGCAGGTCTGAGAACACAAAAGAACAGGTCTGTTAAAAACCTGTTTAAACATCAACGCTGAGGTTCTCAGAAAACAAAACAAAAACACAATGGCAGCGAGCAGGGCAGTTTTCTGAGCTCATAACACAAGTCAAGACATGACTTGTAAGGCTGCAGCTCTGCAGACAGTAGGCCCAAAGAACTAGTTACCATCTGACGTAGTTTAAGTAGATTTTTCTTTAAGAACGGTGAGGGACTTACCCTGCCATCATGGGTGAGAAGAATAGAATCACTCTTAATGTCTCTGTGAATGACTCCCTGGGAGTGAAGGACCGAGAGAGCTTTCAGAACAGACAGACACACGGTGGCAATCTGCTCCTCATTCATCCTGAAAAAGACACAAATAAAATAATGGAAATGTTAAACATTGAACGAAATCTTTAAAGGCTGATAAAATGATCAAACAGACAGAATGCCATGCCAAAGAGGACTGCTGTGATACCCTGCCACCTAGTGGTACTGCACTGTTGCCCAGTAACAGGTGAATGGGCTTTAAACGTAAACGTATTTCACATTTGTATTACAATATGTATATTTTTATAATTTATTAGCAAATGCATTTTTTTCTGTCATAAAGACAACAGAATGATTTAATTCCTAAAGGTGTCTGGTCTTATGGTTGATCATATGTTCATTTTAGAGTCTTATTCGGTGTGCTGAAAAATAAAATACTTATTTTATTTAAATTTTTTTAAGCGTGTGAATAAAATAAGACTTTTTTTTTTTAAATGTGCAGATAAATAAAAAAATAGATATAAAAAGAAAAACAAAATTAGTCATTATAAACAGAATCTGAAAGTACATATGATTAAGAATATAACAGAGAGTAACTGAAAAACAATTAGTGATTGGACTTCTAAGAAACACCTGCCTGGTATGTGTGACTATGTCAGTCAAAGCTCCACCCTCAAGAAACTCCATGACAACCCAGAGTTCATCGCCTACTAAGTAACTGTTGTACATCTCCACCACGTTCTCATGGTGATAGTCCCGCATGATCACCACCTTAGAAACAAGAAACAAAGCCAGCAGAATGTTTCTATTTAAAAATCTCATTAAGTGGATAAGTAAAGATTTTGTGGGAGGAAAATCAACCAGCAGTAAAAATTTTCACACAGTGCCATCATGTACAATCTACAAACTGAGTTTCACTGAAGAAGCATTTTGGTTTTTCTGTCGCTGATTGGAATTTCAGCATTAAGCTCCCATGTGCTGCATAGCACACACAAACACCTTTTCTGAACAACCAATTATAACACTAATCTCCTGTGGATTGCACCCACCTCGTTAAACAGCAATTCTCGTCGCTGCTGTTTTCGCAGATCCATCTTCTTCACAGCCACCAGCTTGCCTGTGGTCTTCACTGTAGCAATACAAACAATGCCGGTGGAACCTTCCCCGATCTTGATGTAGTTGTCCAGATAAGTGCGTGGGTCCCCAGGGTCAACCACCATCTGCAGGGCAGCACGGAACTGCTCGTGGGAGACCCGCTGCGGCTCCCTATGAGGTGAGCGCGTCTGCTGTGGGGGTGCAGCCTGGCCTGACGGTTTTGGTGCTGGGGGCATCTGCTGACTGTGAGGGGGCTCGGGGCCTAAGGCTGGGTGGGAGGCGTGATGCTGGGGCTCTACTCTGTGCTGCCCCTGAGAAGCACTTTTACTGCCACTGTTTCCACCCCGGACTGCCCCGGTAGAAGGACCGTTGTGGTGGGAAGGTTCATGAGATTTTCCTGGTTTTAAATCCTGCATAAACATAAATAAGAGTATATTTTGAATAATAATTAAAGAATATATTATGATAAAATATATTTAAATTAAATAAATTATACTACATATGTATATGTATATATACATACACATATACATACATATATACAGTGGTGTGAAAAAGTGTTGGCCCCCTTCCTGTTTTTTTTATTTTTTATATATTTGTCACACTTAAAAGATTCAGATCATCAAACAAATTTTTATATTACACAAAGATAATGCAAGTAAATACAAAATGCAGTTTTTAAATGATGAT